GAAAACTTATATGACTTTATTTTTTTGAGTAATGACCCCAACACTAATGAAAGCAAAGAAGGGAAATACCTCCAACTAAACCAACATTTAACCACACAGCATGCAGTTAATTGCATGAATATAATGCCTTTGATATGCTGCTTGGCAATAATGGTCACTATCAAAGTGGAGCCAGTGAGAACCCAATAACAAATTAATAAGGAATGGGTACAATAAGCAATACTGATAATGGAATCGGAATTGCTAAATCCTTATCAATCAAAAGCTACCAGACACTGAATCAATTAGACAAAGAACAGAACTGATTCTGCTTTCATTTATTCCCATCTCTGATCCAAGGAATGCTAATCAGTGAATTTTGTTTTTGTAGCTTTGAGTCGTCTATGATGGAGCTGCTCATTCCTAATTAAATAATGGATATTGTTGATCTGATTTGTTGGCTGACTAACCTTTTGCAAAAGTACAAATGAGAAGAGTAGGGCTGTAAACCTTGTCTAAAGATTTTCCAAAACAAACGTGCTTTGCGCTTTCTTTTTTGTCTATAAATTGCTTTTTTTGCTGTTTTACACCAGTTTGTACAATCATCCACAAGCAAGAGTTTCAGACAATCTTTTAAGTCCAAGAGCATGAGAATCGATTAGTCTCGATTAGTGTCGTATCACATTTTAGACAATCCCAATAACAGACAGTTTCCCAAATCGTGGTTTACGCCTAGCCCCAACTAAGCAGAAAATTTCTGTAAAGTGCAAAAAAACTTAATCTAAATCTCAGTTTAGACCAAATCTGTGTTTTGGAAAATGAGCATTTATTGCTTGAATAAAAAGCTAAATTCCTGTTTTCTTTGCCCCACGAGAGGTTTAAAAACAGGATTTAAAATTTAAAAAAAATTGGTGTGTTTCTCTATGTGCACGTGCATGCCTTTTACAGTATGAGTAAAATCATGATATTATCATGTTAAAAAACCAAAGGCTTTTATTTTTTTATTTTAAGTAATTAATTGATTTATTTTGCAGAAATGGATAGATAAATGGAAATAAAACAAGGAGCAGTCGGCCAGTTTTTTGGTTATGGGATTTTATTAGCTTCCATTAACCAATTTTAAACAATGACAATAGGCAAAAAGAAAAAAATAATAATAATTAAAAGGGAAAAAATAGCAACTTTAGGGCTCATGTCTGCTAGTACCTCCTCTACTCTGTAGTATATTAAACTGCTGCCCATGTGTGACTATGTAACAGTGTAATAGATTTTGTAAAATCTAACCTGTTTCGGTGAGGTTGGATTTTTCAGCAGTCAAATGTACCTGCTATAAAAGAATGTTTTTGCTTGCTTGATCTACTGCTATCAGCTGGCGTTATCAAAGAGAAATAGTTTTTTTTAAATGCATATTTTTAGAAGTCATGTGCACTGGTCTGACAACAACTTTACTGGTATCACAGCCAGTGTAAAAGGTGGAAGTAGTTACTATGATGTAATCCACTGCTTATGAAGCCTTAAGATTAGTGCTTTTATTGTGCCATCTTAGTTTTAAAGAAATGTGATTTCCTCACTGAATAATGACTTATAATTGATAGATTTTTAGGCAGTGAGCGTGATGACAGAATACCATGGATAATACTCTTCTTTTTTCTTTTTTTTTTTAAAAATGACCAAGATTTTATAAAATAGGCTTATTTTTTGCATTCAATGCGACCCAAAATGAGCGACTAAGTTCATAAACACATCGGGTCAAGACAGATCAAAACAGGTCAAAACAGAAAGCCATTTTTACAGTAGACTTATATAAGAAAATAAAGTCTCTGCAAGAACAGCTATTGTCATCTGGTGGCCTTGTGACAGAGTATACTTTAGATTTAAGGCACTTCTGCATTGGCTTCATATTCCACAACCCAGAAGCTACAACCATCTTTTATACTGTCTACGACTGATACTATGTTGGAATGTTCTAGCAAGCTTTGGAATGGCAAGGGACATCTGCAGAGTTAGACAACTTTTCTGAAAACAAAGCAGTGCTCATTTTCTGTCAGAAAAATAAGGCAACTATTCCTGTGCAGCATGTTGAATATTGACTGTAAAAGACGCCTAATCATCTTAGTAGTATGTGCAACTATGAGAAACAAAACAAAAATTAAATGAATAATCTGTAGAAAAATAATTGCCATATGATATAAGGCATTAATTGACCAATAAAGATGACTTCTAAGAAAAACAAAATTAAAAAGTTATCTTGATTCTGCATTTACAATTCTGCCTAAATCTGTGCAATGTTACCGGTGGCACCAAACATGAGTTAACTCTACCCTCTGGAAGCTACCAGTTGTGGCAGTTATTTTATTTCATTTCAACTGAATTGAACTGGATTCAGTTTATATAGCAAAATCACAATAACAGCCATCTCAAGGTGTTTTATATGAGGTAAAGACCAGCCAATATTAGAGAGGTTATCTCTGATATTTGTAAAGGCAAATAAGTTAAACTATTTCTCTCAGGACAAGCTAGCAGTAGTTTAATAAGCGTGTTGTACATTGTGGTTTTTGCTGACATTGTTATATTTTTTTTTTTAACACTGTATTTCTTTCTTTGATATCAAATACAGTGCAAGCTGAAATACCCAATCTGCAGTCTCTCAAAAATAGCCTTGTATTTTTTAAGTTGACATCCATATATTTTTTAAAAATAAAAGTAGGTAAAATGGATTTCCAAAGCTGTAAAGTATGAATACATCCACAGCAATTTAAGAAAGACTTTTCAACTGAGAGCATTGCAACACTTATACCTTAAGCAACTATTGAACTAGGATCCATATGACTGTTCCTTTGGAGCACAGCAGTCTTATAACTACATCGGAGAGCAGAGTAGGATAGATACAGTAATGTGTCCAGAACATACAGTATAGTTGTCATCATCAGTCAGAATATCTATTGCTTTGGTGGAGGCCATACAGCAATTTTTATTCCCCATTTGGCATCAGCTCAGGTCTCTTATCTGTGTCTGTTTACACCGCATTTTCTTTTTGTTCCCAATTCTTTCCATTTCAGACCCAATCATTTGTGTTTTGATGCCAGCGTGTATTTTTCAAATGTTTCTTGTTTAACAAATGATTGAAAATAGAGATGCTTTTAGTAATCAAAATTATGCCCTTGTTTTCAATTGAATGAGCCCACTAAAAAAACATTGTGACAGTTGGTTTAATTTGCTTTCCTAAATGGACCTCTGAGACTCGCCCTTCTCAAAGAATTTTGAGTGTAATGGCCTCCATTTTTACATCTCACGGAGGTAAACTGATTTCTACCCTGTACAAAGACAAGAACTCATTCAATACTTGAAGTAAAGACCGGAACATCTTTAGAAAAAAAGAACCCATAAGATCACTTTCACATTGTGGTGGTAGATAGTATTGTGTACCATATTTGCACTGTAAAATGTACAAAATATCACCAAGTTGTTGGCTAGTGGCCTGCAATCTTATTCACAAGCACTTTGAAGCATGTTTATTTATTTACAACATACAGTGTACTCTGAAACAGTAACACATTTATAAATAAATATTGCAATCTTAACATCGTACAGTTCTCCTTTTTTATTGTCGGTTCTTCATGACTCGTCACCTGAGCTTAACGAAGGTGAGGCAACCTTTGCCTGTTCTGAGTCCTTCTTTCCACTTATTCTTTTATGTGCTATCATTCACCAGCAGGCCTATTACTTTCAGTCTTTGTCCTTGCCCTGTCATTCCTTCCTCACCCTCTCAAACATGATTTCAAATAAATAGGTGTCTAGAAGGAAAAAAAAGGATCATATATTCTTAATTCTTAATAAATCTCTGAAATAAAACGCTACAGTTAATATCTTCCCAAATTAGGGAAAAACATAACAAAGAAAAACATAAAAACCTTCTATTTATCAAAAAGGACAAACAAAAGGAAAAAAAAAACAATATATTCATAATAATGTTCAACAAGCTGGTACGTATCCATATCTGTTCGTCAGGTATCCATTCCATTATCATTATCCATTCACATGTCATTCAGTACATCCTGTTATCTCAATGTTCAACACTGCAGGTACTCCTGTCTGTCTGGTTGCCTATGTGGTACATTTTTTTTAAATAATCTTCATTATTAGGTGCTCAGTCAGGCTTTGCAAAGCCCAACCACTTCCTTTTTTTTAATATGAGACACTTCAGTCAGTCCCCTTACACTCAGTGTTTCACTGTGTGTGTATTTTTCTTTTTTTTTTACTTCACAAATGTTCTACTGTTGTCCAATCACAGACAAGGAGATGGGCCAGGGGATGACAGGAGTGATTCTGGATAGAGGGAGAAAGCCATCATTGGCTGCAGGGAAAACAGAAAATCAGCCTCAAATATGGCTAATGTCCTTTCCTGTTTGTAATTGTGCAAGAATAAATGCCTCTGTCTTGGATCCAAGGGAGAAACAGTCTTTTGTAAGATACATCATTTTCCAACTCTCAAGACACTCTGTTGTTTCAAGAAAGAGCACATTTGCCTGAATACAGAGCTGAATGGCAATTCCCACTAGTAACTGCAAAATGCCTGAATTTCTAGTTGAGTACTTGGACTATATATATTTATTACATTTCACATGTTACTTATGAGAAATGCCATAAGAAATGGGTCACATGATAAACCAACAACACATATTCGTCAGAGAACTCATTACGTAACCATTCTGCAGACTCGGCAGGTAAATGTTTGTATATCAAAAGTAGATCAATGATTAGTCAACGGCCACAGCAAAGGTTGACAATAAACCACACGAGTAAAAAAGACTTCTGAAGGCAGGACATGATGTAAGTCCTTCCCATCCTCGTTTAAATGTAAAGTGGCTTACAAATGTCTGTCCAATAACGTACCCTGAATTTACTGTAAGTATCTATACAATGGTTTACTAATTTTCTGAAAGTAAACATTTAAAACAATAGTGACTTTATTATTGATTTTTACACTAATATTTTCACAATAAATAAAACAGAAAAAACTCAAAGTTTTTTATTATTTGCTACCATTAATTTTAGTGTGAGCTAGTGATGCTTTTCATAGCCTAAGGGATGCTAAATGTAAGCGTCCCCAACCCAACACAATGTCTCTTAGATACTCTTCCAGACACATCATCACACTTTATGTTCCCTTCACGCTTCCTATATCCCTCCCATTCTCCCTCCATATATCCACTGCAAAGGCATTATAGGTGAATTGTACTCATTGTCCATTCTCCCCCTACTGTACTAATCCTCTGCCCCGCCATTTCTCAGTTTCTTTCCCATCAGTCACAGATTGTCTTGTAGCCTTTCCATATAGGTTCTGATTTCAGACTGACCTAGGTCCATATCCTGGCACACCCACTTGATATCATCTTCACTCCCATTCGTCACCAGGACTGATGAGTTGGTGTATGGGCCACCACCTGAATTATCATTGGGCAGAACAGTGGCAAAAGATGTGAATTTGACGCGTTTGCGTTTGGCCGCTGCAACAGCAGCTGCAGCTGTGGCTTGGGGGGAATTATTCAGATGCTCCTTTTGACCTGTAGCATCTTTGCCACCAGTAGTGATTGCTGAAAGGCACTGATGCGATTCTGGAATAGATCTAGGCAAGGTTTGTCCATGGGTGACACCCCGATGTCCACCTCTGCCACCGCTCCCACTTATAGTGCCCATGCCCATTACCAAGGTGTTACCAGCCCCATTCAGTAGATACTTGTTCTCCTCGTAGCCCCCTTCATTGCGGTCAATTATGGTGGTGCACTCATCCAGCATGCCACCCTGGCATTGGTCAGGGTGGTCTGCTAAAAGGTCAGCCTCAGTGCCAAGCCACACCCAGTCGTGGGCATGGTTCATGTTGCCTCCTGCCTCTAGAACTGGGACTTGCTTGTGACGGTATCTGCAGAGGAAAATTCATAATGAAACATCAATGGAGGTAAAAATTTAAACAGATGCAGTTTCATGACTATAATCTATAGGCATTATCAGAGGAATGACTGCAAAAATTAATACTCAGATAAAAGTTGAGGATTTCACCCCATCAAAATATCACTAAAAAGTTCAAGAAAATTTGAAGGAGAATTAAGTCCAATATTAGGTTTTCATGGTACTAGCAAAGCAATAAGTGATGTATCACGGGTCTGTTATCCATCCATCCATCCATCCATTTTCTCAACTGCTTAACCAGTTTTGGGTTGCTGGGAACTATCAACTTACATTTGGTGAGAGTCATTTGTCATTTGATTTGTCTCTTAAAATCCATACAAAATAGCAGCACACAAAGGATATGAGAACATAAAACATGTTTAATGCAAAAACATTTATCTGAGAGGTATGCTGGATTTTTGTGCCAACCACCGCTGCTTTCCACTGATCACTTAATAAGCCACAGAGCAATTAATGTTCTCTGCCATTTTGAAACAAAAAGGAGAGGACAGAATCAGAAAAGAACAGATAACTGATTACTGCATTTGATCAGCTGATTTTAGAGGCTAAAGCAGGACGAAGGATGACTGGAAGGATGCAATCTTATCGCAGGTAAAATAAGCTCATTGAACATTCCTGCTATTGTAAGGGTAATTCATTATTTATTTATTATTTTTATAATTGTTTAGGCTCAGTGATATGTGTTTCTAATAAACTAGCCTGTTGATATGAATACTTCACTCCCAACTGGAGCAGTAGTTACCTCTCTAAAAAGTAAAGACTGAGTGTATCAATGGGATCTTGAAAATCAGACAACAATCTCTACACTTGAAATTGTTGTATTTTCAATTGACTTCTCTCAAAAGGTTTCTCTCACAAAATAATGTGGTTGAGCAAAGGTGCTTATGCCCATCATTAAATATTGTTTGCAATGAATAAGCTTTCTTACAGGTTTTAACTTTGTACAAGACATTGATCTGGCTTAAATTTTAATCCTCCAATAGACAATGGTTACCTAATATGGGCATATTAGGCCCATACCGATTACCTGTCAAAACCAGCTTTTTGGTTCATAGATCCTTTCAGTTTCACATTATATTCTACCCATATATTAACTAACCATAATGGACCTGCCTCAGTATTTAATGTGCATCATGTTTTGTTGCTGAGTAACATGTTTAGGTTTTCAGGGGTTTTTTGTTTTTTTTTACCTGAAAGCAAAGCTGACACAGTTGATGAGGAAAACCAGTATTGCCAGGCAGAATACTCCCAGAAGGGCATACATCCCAATCTCCAGGTCTGACAGGCCTCTAGTGGGCTGGGTTAGCTCACTGTTTCCAGTCCCCGGTACCTCCACTGGTGCTGGGTAGCTACTGTAGTCGCCTGGTTGGTTGGGGCCACTGCCACGACTACTGCTGCTGCCACCACCAGCACCTTTGCCACCTGAAGCACGATGGGTTACTGTACTCTTGGTTGTTGAGCTAACCTGAAAATGGAAACGAAAACACAGATATAGTAAATGGTTAAAATATGTGGATTTTGTATATTCATTTGGATTCACGTAAATACGGCATTATTACACAAGACTGACTCCCTCTCCCCATTCTCCTGCTGGCCTGCTCGCACACTGCGCAGCGACATAGTTATGTTATTTACTATATTTAACACAGCAATTTTCACAGAGGCAGGAAACATTGGGAGCTCTGTGCTAAGGATGGATAATGATCAGACTATATGTGTGACATACTGGAATGCCCTGGACCAAGAAGGTGCACAACCACTCACAGTGATTACACTACTCAAACAAACTAAACTTTGATGATTAAATGTGTTTATCCAATGTGAGTAAACTCTAAAACTACAGTTTAAGGAAAATACTCTTAAAAATATCCTTTCCTCACTGTTTTTTTTTTTTTTTTTCCATACCTTCCTCATGGCTCCTTCCTCTCGGTCCACTGCTGCACTGTTGGATTTCCACTCTCCTCCATCTTTTGTCCGTTGTTCACTGGTGCTGTTATCCAACCCTCCACCATCATCTTGCCCCCCTCTTCCCATCACTCCTCTTTCGTCATTTTTTGCTCCAAACTTAACTATAACATTTCCAACTCCAGATGCCAGCACACTCTTCCTTTTTGACTTCTGGCAAGTTTCAGAGATGACCATCTCTACTCGAAACAATGCCCCCTGCCCATCACCTTCTGCTACTACAATGGGCCAGTGCTGTTCCTAAATGACAAAGAGAATGTGGAAGTTAATACCTTACAGTTTAAAATGCGTTTAGGCAGCTTTTGTTATGACTTTGCAAACTATAAATAAACCTTAACTGAACTGAATTGAATTGAATTTGGGCTTTCTGCTCTAAAAAGCATGATCTACAAATGTATAAAACTGTCACTTGTTTGCACTGCTGACAATATAAAGGAAGATGCCAGTACCTGATTGGTAACAGAAATGACATTCTCATCAAGTGAGACAGCTGAAAGTAGGAAGTCTTTTGGATCATATATATCCAATGGTGTCACTGAACCATCACTGTACTGGATCCATGCACTGATCCCAGCTTCCTGAAATAGAGAAAGAAAAACCCTGCACAATTACAGCTTTTAAATAGTTCATCCATTCATTAAAATATATTTTAATGACATTGGTTGAACCTCTTGTGACCTTTTATGAAAGAAGATCAAAGAGAATATCTATCACTGATACTTTTTCTTTGCACAAGATAGAAAGAATGTTGCCATCTGATATTTCAAGCAAAGATAACTGACATCAACAAAGAGTCCTTGCTTTTTATTGGCTGTTCCCTCTTTCTTCTTTTGTGCCTTGCTTTATTTTACTTCCTCGCCTGTCTCTGTGATTTCTGATCTGTTTCCTATTATGTTTCCTATGTTTGTCTTTTTTTGGTCTTGTTAACACCTGATCTTGCTTTTGTTCATCACAGTACATTCCTATCATGGGCCATGTCATACAGTTTTATACTTGCTGGACTCTTGTAAGTTTCAAGTTGGCTCCTTGGTAAAGTTCACATTTTATGCACTCAACGTGCCATTCTAAAAGTGTCTGCATTTTAGTTTTCTATTTAACGAAGTGAGTAGTGAAAGAGGTCATCTATGTCCACTGTGATTGACCATCTTTGAACAGAAGAGGTGGCTTACGACACCAACTGTCTGCCACCTACAGTGAAGTTTTGAGATCCCTTTCCAAGTGCCTCACCCCCACTCACATCTTGCATCAGGTGATCACAATAGGTCACATGATAGGGTGAGGAAGGTCTCACAATGGTTTCACCCAAAACCTCTGCTGATAATGACCCATGCCTTTTTTCACACCAAGCGATGAGGGACATGATCAATAGTGGGTCAGTGACCCTCTTAAGGGACAACTCCCCCTAGGGACTGTCCACCATTTGGTTTTAGAACTGAAGAAGCTTCTTGGATTAGAGGTGGAATATCTTCAAGAAACTTAAAGAAGTCCAAGCTCCTTAGACTACAATGACATGTATGATTTAGAACCTACACAGATATGCTTTCTAGTTCACTTTAACATCATTGAAATTGTTAAATGCTATTGTATAAGCTTGGGAACTACTTGATGGAACACCTTTCTTCGACTCTGAGATTGGCCCACAGTCACTCACCTTTTAGAAAATACTCAAAGTCCACATTCACAGACTCAAAAGACTGTGGCATGCTCCTGCTAAATCCTTAGGGCAGTGTAAAATCATCAAGTGCATGAGATGTCGCTGACATTTAACCTTTTAGGAACCCCTTCCATACATTTCTGCAGGTTTTGCCCAGTATAGTTATCCAGATCTAATACCACAGTAATTTCAAACATGTTATCAGGAGAAGCACAAAAAATTGGAAAGCTAATATTAGATATTACAAAGTGTCAAAGACCCAACTGTGTAACTTTTTAATCTTATTTACTGGTATATGGCATTTTCATAATGTTGTCGTAGTCTTGGGTCATTTGTCCCAGCCTTTTAGAATTAATGGTGTTTTGTGATTTCTTTGTGTATAATATTTTGGTTTTATATTTTTCAGTATCTTTTGGGCTCCTATGTTTAGTTTTCATGTTGTCTTGTCATGATGTCTCATCACCCTTTCCTGTGTGTCATTCCATGTTTCCCCAGCCTGTCATGTCTCTCTCTCTTGTGCTCTCTCATCCCCTCTCTCTCGTGTTCCCTCACTCCTTCTCTCATCTGCCTCTTCCTGCCATACATCCTTCCAAGCTTAAGCCCTCTGTGTCCCTTTGTTCAGTGTGAGGCTGCTTGTTCGTCTTCTCCCGTGTTCCTGGGCCCTAGTTTTTCCATTATCCCTGTGCTTTGCTTCTAGTTAAGTTTTTCCAGTTTATTTTAGCTATTGGTTTTGGTTTCTCTTATTTTGTACTTTCGTGTTCCACATTCAATAAACAGCGTGTTTTTCGTTCAACCTTGTCCCTTCCTCGAGTGTCTGTATTTGGGTCCGCTAAAAAGAAACACATGGTCTGCCGCCGCAGACCCATGACAAATGTATTTGTCCAAATGCTGACCACACGTAATTTTCAGTTTGTTCTTTTCTTACACAATTTTTTAACTAGATTTTCAAAGTAGCTTAAGAAAATAAAAAAAAATGTAAAAATTAATTTTAAAAAATTGCTAAAATCTAATTGCTAAAACTAGATGTTAGCAATTGTACATTTCCACCTTCATAATTGTTAGTCTGCAATGCTATGCTTCCCAAACACATTTCATTATTCAGTATTGACAACTAAAACCTATACACCTGTTTTGTGGACAGAAACACTTTTTTTCTCTGATTTGTCTTTTTCCTGTTCAATTACAACAGGAAAAAAATCCATCCAAAGAAAAATACTTTCTGAATTTCACACTAAATGTACAAGAAAAGCAAAGATTTTTCTTCTTTCTTAAAATAATATCAGATAAGATAAACCTTTATAAACCATTTCTTTAAATGGTCCTGCTTCACAGATTTACATTGACAAACAGCTTTGTTCTTCTTATTAATAAAAATAAAAAGACTAATGCACTGATATAACCTAGTAAGTAAGATTTAGTACCTTTTTTTAATAAACTGCAGGATCAAACCTGTATTTTGATTGAGGTGAGCTGCTTAGCCCTTGGGTGGTATTTATGTTGTGGCAATTTTAAAACAAACAAACAAAAATAAGTATGAAGACAGCCTAACATATTCTATATAACTTCATAAGGTATAAAATAAACTTTGGCAATGTCATTAAAAAATCAAGAATAATAAGTAAATGGTACCTGTTAACTGTGTTAACGGGTATGTGTGATGATATAATGGATCAAAGTGGAGATGGAGACGGGTTAAAAAAAGATTTTTAAATGTTATAACAATTTTAGTTTCACTGTGTTTGTAAACATAGGTGACAAATTCATTTTGCGATTTATTTTTTTTATTCATTTATTTATTTTTGCCTGTCCAGTTTGGATCTTTAGCCATCAGAATAGTTGTCTGAAGGCCAAGAAAGATGCCAAGTGGATTTACTTTACCAAGTGGATCATCATGGCCTTGCCATATTGGTCCATTTGATTGACCTTTATTATAATTATGTATTTATTTTATTTTCGTTTTTTAAAGACGGGACAGACATGACTGGGGGATAGGACAGGGAGATGAATGAAAGAAAGAGAGGGAGAGAAAGAAAAATAGAGGGGAGAAGAGATGGTGAGAAAGGGGGGAAGAAAAAAAAGAAAGAAAAACAAACAAAACACCTGGATCACCTGTATGGAGATAAAAAACCAGAAGAGAAAACAAACAACAAAGAGCAACATAATAAAAACAACACCATCTCAATAAACTAGCTAACAATAGATAACAGTAGATACTTTTTAAATTTCACCTGTTGAGAATGAAAAAAGAAAACAAGCCGAAGAAAACGAGAGCACTAGAATAAACAACATCACGATGATCTATGGGAATATAACACTATATACTAAATATTAAACATTATTGTGCAGCACCTAAGATCGACAGCGCACAGTGTGCTTTGAGGTAGGAGCCAAAAAGGGTGTAGTTTGTGTGTGTGAGCACCCGTGTGTACACCTGTGAGCATGAATGCACTTGTTTTTAAAAGGTTCCTTCATGTAATGATCTGCTAGAGGGTGTGGGGGGGCCACAGCCCCGTCCACCAGGGCATGAAGCAGGTATGGAGGAGATCAAAACTCCAGACATCCAGAGGCCCTCAGAACACAAGAGACCAAGGAAGACCAACAGAGGGGCAGCCGCGCCACTATCCCAGAAAAGCTGAGGAAAGTCCCAGATGAGGGGTCACTCAGCAGCCGCGGAGCAGAAGCCAGGGGGGTTGCAGTGACGTGCCCGTGAGCTCCGCCGGCAGCCAGCTGTGCCAGAGTGACCGAGCCCCAGGCCAAGAGGCCAAGGGCACCCCACCCCCGAAGTGGCCTGAGCGAGCCCCAGGCTCCAGGCCCCGATAAGCAGCCACCAAGGAGTGAGCCAGTGTGTACCTGGACGCCCATCCTCCGCCCGCTCATATGTAGTGTTGATGCATGTGTGTTCTAAGGTGCATTTAAAACCCAGGAGGGCATCATTGTTGCGATTTAATTTCTTTTACTGGATTGTATTTAGGGCCTGAAGTTTCATTTAAAAAAAGAAATGGCTGTTGTAATCGGTTGCTGCTGTAATTGCTATAGCCTTGAAGTTACACTTCCCTAATTTGAAACTGATTATGGGAGAGATAGCATCTAGATAATGTTCGCAGTGCAGAATTACTATTTAAGAGCCATGATTACAACCTTTAGGGAATTACTGTGAAGAGAGGAACAGGCAACGATGGTGGCCATCATTTCACTTGTGTAATAAAAACCTAAAGGCAGAGAGTTGTCTGCATGTGAATCACATGGCTACATGTCCAAACTAGATAAAGTGAGAGGATGTGATGGCTTGCAGAAATGTTTTAATGTGTGAGTAAAATCACAGATATTCATAAGAACAAAAATCTTTTTATATAATTCATCCATCCATGTTCAGTGTGTCTGCCTCTGGCTCTATGAAAGCTGGGGTATGCTCACCCCTCATGCAACCTTGAACTGGGTACTCATCTAGCTGCATCTTCTTATTGGAGCCGAGAAGTAAATCTGAATAACAGGATCATAAAATTTTAGCAGATGTAGACTTGACGTAAAGTGATCTCCTACCTGTTTAGGTGTATGTAGCAGGTCAGCAGCTGTGGTTGTTAACTGTATGGCTTGAGAATTTACAGGACTTGGACTCAAACTAAGGGACAAAGATGCAACCAGCTGGACTCCCAGGTCAGAAATGGTGACCTTCAGGTAAAAAAAAAAAAAAGCAATATTAAAAGAGTTCAAGTTGTAGTTTTTGTCCCCTTTTAAAGGTTTGTTATTCTGATGATGATCCTAAAATGTAAAGTCAGTCACTTTAAAACGGGGTAGATTCAGCACATTTGGAACTCTTTAGATCAATAATGGAAGACTGATACATTAATATAGCATAATTACAAAATAAAAGCGAATCTTCAAGCGTACAACTTTTGTATCAGACATTATTTAGACATTAAACATGCTATAAGTAAGAGTACAGTTTACACTTTAAGTAAATCACAACACTCTTTGTATGCCATGCCATGGTCTGATGCTGCATTATTTAATAAATGTGCATAATTTGAGTTCATTGTGTACAGGTGCAGCCCTAATAAACATGTGTTTACTTACTCTGTGAGGAACTTTGGTTGTTGTTTGCTTTCAGATGTAATTAATCTTAATATTGGCCTCTGGTAGAACCTTTAATCTGCTAAATTGGACTCAAGAATATATATAATAAAGCAATATTTACCTTGTCATCTAATACAGTTACAGTCTTCTCTGCCAGTATCGAGTCAGACAAGGGGGACAGAACCTGCAACAAAAGACAATACAAAAACATATTTAAGTTCAAGTTTAAATCACCTATCCTGGCAAGCTAGATGTTAAAAAGCAACGAAATATGAGTTTTGGTCTCATAGTTTTGAAAAGTATATAAATAACAGGAACAAGGTTATGTTGTGGCTTATAGGAAAATCATTCTACAAGAAATGATGTTATTTATTTTGTCAAAAGTGGTCAATGGCAAAATTGCCCAAAAATGAACAAATGTTGCTGTTTCAATGTAAAACAGTGGTTTACTCAGACACACAGACTCAGACACATAGTGTTCACTACATGTACACAGACTACTATTTCTGGACACACATCTGTTTTCACATATAAAAAACACATTCACGTCATTTTGGACATTCTCTCTTATTTGCTTTGTGAGGAAATTTCTTGTGTGGACTGAGCCATTGCCTCTTCTAAACCAAATGACTTTAAGAATCTTATTTTTTTGAAAGGAAGTGTATTTAATTTCTTTTAACTGTTAAGTAAATAGAAAGTCCAAGGATGTTCTTGAAAGACATCCAACAGATGCCAAATATTTTTTCAACCAAGTCTAAATGTCAAGAAAATGTGTTGAGATTACAGCTGTTTAAATGTTTGCTGATAAGTCCTGCTACTCAGCTGTCGTCTTGCTAATGCCTTTACTCAGCAGCAATTTTGAAGCATTAACTAAATGCAAAACTGAATTTAATTTCTTTGGTTACCAGGACATAAAAGAAAGGTATTTCTAAAAACTCAAATCCAAACACACACC